AATGCTCTTAACCTCTGAGCCATCTCTCCAACCCCAGTGTTTAGCCCTTTGACACTGAAGTTTAACAGTGTCATCTTGAGAACTGTGCGATCAGTTCCAAACAAGCAAACTCATGCTTTAAGTAAATGTCTGATTTTGTGTTGGACATTCACAGCTCTCTTTGGTCATACACAGCTATAGGTTGGGCACACCTGCTAGTCTATTAAACCATAGCATTATATAAAACAGTGTACATCTTTCAGTTAATTTTTGCTTTACAAATGCTGCTCATTATTTGAGCTGCTGGGAAAAGAGTGCTGCTAGATTTAGCTTGCTGTGGACTGGCCATATATATCAAACTGTAAAAAGAAAAGAAAATGTATCATCAGAGCTGGGAGAATGGCTCAGTGATAGATAGAGCATTTGCTTGGCTTCTTACTGGAGTCCTTGGGTTCAATTCCCAGTACCACACACACACGCGCTCATGCAAGAACACACACACTCACATACACACATGAACAAGCACACACATACATGCACAAGCGCACATACACATGTACAAACACACACATACATACACACAAATGCACAGGTATACACACACACACATACACACGAACAAGCACACACATACACACACAAGCACACATACATATGTACAAACACATACACAAACACACATACATACAAACACATTTATGCACAGGCTCACACCCATATACATAGACACATGAATGCACACAAAAAGCTGCACACATACATATACCATGAAGGACAATAAAACAAGGCACAAAAAAAAGAAGGTATGAATCAGCCTGATGGTGCAGGTCTGTAATCCCAAGTCCCCGGGAGGCTGAGGCAGGAGGATCACAGTTCAAGAACTTCCTGGGTGACCGAGAGTTTAATGCCAGCTTGGGCAACTTAATGAGACCCCGTCTCAAAATAAAAAGTGAAGAGAGGGCCAAGGGAATAGCTCAGAGGTAGAGCACGAACATAGCATGTGCAAGGCCTTAGGTTTCACCCTTAGCATTGCAAATAAAAATAAAATAAGGGTACGCCTGTATGGTGTTATAGAGAAAACAGGCCTCTATAAATAAAAGAGAACTGTGCATAAAAAACAACTGGGAGATCTTACATCAAAAGACTAAGAGTCTAATCTTTATATTTAGTGGGTAGAAAGACGGGTGAGTTTTTGTGGAGGTTTATTTCCCACATTCTTGTTGGTCATGTTATTTTTGGAAGGAGATGACATGTGATTTTTTTTTAACACGTTGCTTAGAACTAGGATTTTCAAAACTTTCCAGACATTAAGACTCCTTTCTCATGTAAATGATTTTGCCTGTTCATTCCTGTGCATCTGTATGTCGCATGCACGTGTGCACACGTGGGAGGCTGCAGACAGACAGCAGATGTCCTTCTCTGTCCTCTCCACTCTGCTTCTCTGCGACAGGGTCTCTCACTGGCCCGGCGCTCATCAGCTCAGCTAAAACCCCGTGGTCCTGCCTTTGCCTTCCCGGTGCTTGGACGGCAACAGGAGCCGGCTTTCCTGTGGGCGCCAGGGATCAGGGATCGGTGGGCACTTTCCTGACTGAGACACTAGACACTTCCTCTGTCCCTCCTCATCCAGACTCGAGAAGGAAATTTCTCAATCTGTTTGTTGTTGGTTCCCTGAAGTCTTTTCCCATGATCCGAGAGACCCAGAAGAGACATGTGGTCTTTTCCCTCTATTTCCCATCATCCCTGGGTTTCTTAGCTCCCTTCTCAAATAACCCATCTGAGCCAATTATGTATTGGCTCTCAAATTAAAAAACAAAACAAAGCAATACAGTAACCTTCTATCCACCCTCCAATTTCAGTACCTGCTGAGCTGGGCATCTGGCCCAACTGAGGATAGGACACAGGGCGCCTGCAATCTAGGAAGTACTCGTTTTTATTTGTCAGTTTCCCGTTCTGCTGTGGTCAAGGTCTCAACCTGATTGCCAGCTGAGGGAAACCCCCACAGCGGTGTGTGAGGACAGCACACCCCTCCCCAGCTCAGGTGGACAGAGCCCTCAGATAAGCTGATGCATGAAAGCTCTGATGAGCCCTTTCTTCCCAGACACAATCAAAGGCAGCTGGGTGGGGTGAATGGCGCGGTATCACCAATGGGTGACAGCTACCCTGGACCTTGACTCCCAATGTGGCAAAGTGCAAACCACAATTTATCCAAACTGCCATTGGGCTCCGTGGAGACTTGCTGGACACATACAGAGCAGTGTTTCTGATGGGTTAGAGCTTCCTGTCAAGCACAGTTAATTTTAATTTTTCCACCGAGCTCAACCTCAAAGCAAGGCTGATTGCTGCTCAGCAAGACAGGCTGCGTTAGTGGAGGCTTTAATTGAGTGCAGATCTGTGTCCCAAAAGCATAACCTTTGTTGCATACATATTTTGGGACAAGAAGGAAAATGAAAATCAGGCCTTTTGGAGGAAAATGATAAAAGTAGATTGTGTTCTATGGCCAGAATGCCAGCACCAAAGGTCAGCCAGGGGGCTCCTTGGGACCCCAACTCCCCACACAGCCTCCCCCCATTTTTGGGAACAGGATCCCACTATGCAGCCCTAGCTGATCTGGAACTCACTATTTAGACACCTGCCTCTGCCTCCCACACGCTGTCATTAAAGACCTGTGCCACCCAATTGAGCCCCCATTCTTTTGTTTATAGATAGGGCCTCACTCTGGTCCAGGCTGGTCCGGAACTTGTAAGAGCCCCGTCTCTGCATCCCAAGTGCTGGAACTAAAGGTATGAGCTACCGTACCTGATTGTACACACAGACAGCACTTCTGAAAGGCTTTGAAACATCTTTCTCAGCTCCAGTGCCTGTGCTTAAAGTTTTCCCAAACTCTAGACTCCACTGCTCTTCCTCTCACAGGGAACAAGGACACTGAGGAGAGATGGGAGGCTCGTTGGCAGAGGACTTGGCATGATTACTGATGTGAGGCTCCTCCAGGACCAGGGTACTGGTCCTTACTTCTGTCCACATCATTCTCCAGTGGCCTTACTACACGTAACGCTGATCTCAGTTGTGAGCATGGCACACCTGGGAAGAAGGACTCTCATTAGCCTCCTTTAGCCTGGCCTGTGGGAATATTTTCCTGATTGCCGATTGATGGGGGTGGAGGGGCAACCCACCATGGTTGGTTCCATCCCTAGGCAGATGGGCTAGATAAGAAAAGTAGCTGCCCTGAGCCTGGGATTCCCTGCTCTCTGCTTCAGTCCCTGCCTCAGATCCCTGCTTTAAGCCCCTGCTCTGGCTTCTCCCCATGATGGATTCTGGCCTGTAAACTCAAATCAACCCTTTCCTCACCAAGTTGCTTTTGCTGATGGTATTTATCACAGCCACAGGTCCACTCAAAGCAGCGTGGATCTCAAAGGAAGCATAGTGCTCTCCTGGGGCTCCAGTGTTGCCATCTGACGCCGTTACCCTTCCCTGGGCAGGGGGGTGGTTTTTGTGCTATCAAAGGACATGTCTTCTTAAATCCAAACTCTACCAGCCTCTTCAAACACTGACTATAGCTCTCTTTGACCCCCAAATACTGACCCTGACATCCAAGCACTTCTAAGACCAAAGCCTATATTCCCTCTGTCCTCTCCTCCTGTCCCCATTTACCCCTCCTCCCCATCAAACACTCTGGTCCTCTTCTCCTTTCCCATCCCCAGTCAGTCTGCTGGGACATCATCCCAGACCAAGACTCCTCCCTCTTGCTTATTCGACAACGGCCACCGACAGATGGTTCTTGCTTCTGCTTTTCATCCCCCTCCAATCCATCTCCACACATCAACCAGGATGATCTTTTAAACAATGTCTGCCCTTTCTTAAACCATCTCTGACTTAGAGTAGTAGCCAAAGGACCCACCACAAGCCCGCACCGCCCACCCATCCCTTCAGCTGCACTGGTTGCCTTCCCACTCTCTGGAGTACCTGCCATTCCTTCAGCCATGGAGGAGACACTCTTGCCCCAGTTTGCTTCCTGACTTAATCCAATGCCACCTTCTCGCAGAGACCTCTGCCAAGCACCCTTCCAGATGTAGTCTTGTGGCCATGTATTAAGTCACGTGGCTTTACTTTCTCCACAGCTTCTGTTATTCATTTGTTATCTGCTATGCCGATTAGAATAGACAGCCCCTGAGAAACGGTAGCTTAATCAACCTGCTCCCTTCTGTTCCCATCAGTACGTCAAGGAATCTACACCATCATGGGGGATAAAGGGTTGACTGCACAAGTCCCGAAGGTTCCTTCACCATTCTCAGCCTCCACAGCTTAGTTTGTGGTATTTCCTTGACGCGGCCCGTCTCGCCTCCTTCTTCTCCTTATCACATGGTGACTCTTGCAGTGGACAAATGTCCGCCCTGTAGAAGGGCAGATTTAAGGGTGTTTCTCCCCAGGGCCCCAACACTTCCTCCAGGAATAACTGCTTCCTCTGATACTCCAGCCAATTTTTTTTTTTTTTTCTAGCTCTGTTCTGAGACTAACTACCTCAAAGGGACCTTATTTTTGTTTCCAGAAATTCTTCTGCTGAAAACTAAGGCTCCCACCTGGATTGGAAGTAGCTCCTTAAAACAAAGAAAGCCCAGCTAGGCAAAGGATTCAACAAAGCAATCAGTTCCCATTCATACTATGTCCTACAATCCCATAGGCATCAATTCAAGGCTTTTATCCAGTCCCAACAAAATCCTCCAAACCATCGGCTTGAAGCCATCTTCCCAGCTATGACTACCAAACGTATAAATGTTTGGAAGCTTCAGCATAGAGGCCTCTTTTAAAGGGTCTCCTGGGGCTCTGTGAGGTAGGCTCAGAAGAACAGATCATTTCAGTTCCCTCTGGACCTGCGGGATTAGGTGAATTAGGCAAATGCCCAGCCCGAGCCTACCCCTGGAGATAGCTTTCTCACAGTCAAAGTACCAAACAGGTGCCTAGCGGCCCGGGGCTCGGGAAACCGTGCACCACCCGAAGCGTCCTGGGCTTCTTCTCCCTGCGCCCAGGGCTACGGCGCTGGACCGCTACGGGCTGCAGAAGGCGGGCTTCACGCACGTGCTCAACGCCGCGCACGGCCGCTGGAATGTGGACACCGGGCCCGACTACTACCGCGACATGGCCATCGAGTACCACGGCGTCGAGGCCGACGACGTGCCCACCTTCGACCTCAGCGTCTTTTTTTACTCCGCTGCCGCCTTCATCGACTCGGCGCTCCGAGACGACCACAGTAAGACACCCTCTTCTGCCTTGCCTCCCAAGGCCCCAACCCCAGGCTAAGGCCCCACCCTGCCTCGCCCCCAGGCCCCGCCCCAAAGCAATCTGCCCCGCCCACCTCTGGGGAGAGGTCCTGCCCCCATGCATAGGCCCCGCCCCAGGAAGAACGGGGGCTCCTGCCATGGGTCTGAAGCAGGATCTACAAGTGCTTCTCAAGTCTGGTGCGTTGGGGTTGAGGATTGTCCACAGCGATTGGCTGAGCTAACTGCCCCGCCACTGGTGGGGTTCCGGGTTTGATAGCTAGTGTCGGGAATTGGAAAGAGGGAGGTTTAGAGGGAAGGGCTTTGGTCTGAATCTCCAGCTCCTGAGGAACAGGCACCCTTTAAAAGGCAAGGAAGGGGGAGCCTAAAGTTGGTGGTGGCGGAGGTCGTGCACACCTTTAACCCCAGCACTCAGGAGGCAGAGATCGCAGAGTTCGAGGCCAGCCTGGTCTACATAGTGAGTTCCAGGACAGCCAGGGATACACAGAGAAACCCTGTCTCGAAACACACACACACACACACACACACACACACACAGAGAGAGAGAGAGAGAGAGAGAGAGAGAGAGAGAGAGAGAGAGAGAGAG